ACTTGTACAAACATAATACATGTATATCGATGTATACATTTGAATTTTAAGAACCTGTAGTTTTGCACTTAACTTCAAATTTTTCAAATTTAAAAAAATGAAATTTAGAAAGTTCTTAATTATTCTCGAGCACGTTGTAAAGTAATTTTCTAAATATTATATTGACAGATTTGACATCCCCTTGTTGGAATTTAAATTTTTCATTTGTGCCGAGTTTTTAAAATGAAACCGATTCTAAGATAAGACTTTTTGTCCTTTTAATTATAAATGGGTCCCTCTTTTTTAGACTCCTGGTATGTCGGTTTGCAATAGCGAGAGAATGACAGAAAAGGAGTGAATGTGCACAGAGAGATCTAAGAGTAAGGAATCTTTGATGCTGATGAGTTGTATCATTGTCAACATTCAGTGTCTTGGTTCACTTAATTTTTGGTTTGGTTGTGCACATTGTTGAGCAGAGACTCTCGTGGCCTAGAGGTTACTGTGTTCGCCTCTCATTCAACTGGTCCCAGGTTCGAAAACTGACACCGGCGGAAAATGTCCTCCTCTAAAATGTTCTCCCTTCTCCTCCTTTCGTTCCCTCTGCCTCTAGCCATGTTCTGTCGTCTGCTTTTGTCTTCACTTTCTCTGGGCTCCTGAATCTTTCTGCAGCCTTTCTACTGCTACTGATTGGGTCTTTCTTACTGCTGTCTTTCAGTCACACCCCTGATCTTAGGGTAGGTAAGATCTACACTTAGCCTTCTCGGACAAGGGCGAAAAATCTCGGAGGTCACGTGTGCAATTTGTGCTTATTTAAGATCCCTTGGTGGTCCTAAAATCGGTAATAGTGGGTTTGGTTGCCACCCAGGAAAAATTCAAATTTCCTACCTAACTGAAAATGTATAATGTGTACCGCACGCTCATATACCATTACACAGTTTCGAATGCCGTTAAACACTTACCATGAAAACAAAAAAACAAAAAAATAATTGTTGAGAACCAAGAGCAACACTGCGGGGGTGCTATAGATCCTTATAATAATAAATAATAAATTATTTTAAAAAATGTAAAATGCAAGATTTAGTTGTTGTTGAAATTGTTGTTTGCACTGCCCACTTATCTATCCACTGATTTATTGTATTTTCCCCCCCACCTGTATTACCTTCTTCATGATCATAGCTCAACTAGGTACATTAATTGAAATCGCCCCCCCCCC